CTTAAAACATACTTTTATTGAACAACAGCAACAGAAAAGAGAACATTTAACTTAGTACTCTGAGCTCTGTGAGTTAAGAAGATGGGCCGCCAAGCCAACCAATGAGAAGAAGTTGACTCTCTAGGGCACACCCCCTCCTCATTTGCATAATGAGGCAGAAATGCATAGAGAAATGTAAAAAGGGCATAGAGAAATAAACAGCGGCGAATAAATAAGGTAAAAAAATACAAAGGAAGAATAAAACAGGCAAAAATATTCTAAGATGCACATAAATAAATACTTAAAAATATAAGTAATTAAAAAATAAAGTTGAAGATTATAAAGGACAGAAAAATAAATAAGGTAAATATTACAAAGGCAAATAAATAAAGAAGCTAATTAAGAGTTATATACATTTATGTCTCACTTTTTTGTTGGCAATTGTATGCTTATTTAAATATGGCAGAGTTGGTCCTTCATACCTAAATACCTCTCACTCTAACTATATAATTCATGTATTACTTAAAAATATTGAAAAACTCTAGATCCTACTGAATCTTAAAATATAAATTAGAATGACAGTTATTCTAATAGAATTTACTGCAACAAAAAGTATTTTTTTCAACTCCAATCAATTCTAACCTCTTAACGTTTATAATCATTTTCATCCCCTTTCACAGCGACAGGTTTGTCACCTCAATCGCTGCCTTGATCAGACAAATCTCTATTGCGCAGGGTGCTCTGCGTAATTACGCATGCCAAAGACTCAGTTTCACGTTCTCAGATTTTGTTGGAGCGGACGGAATTAATTCGTAAAGACTGTAAAGGGACAAGGACAAATGACGGGTCTGAGCCAAAGCCCCTGATGTTACATGTCCCCTCATATGCGACAAAAAGTGCGAATCAACATGTACCTTTATGCACATCTGAACTCAAGCGCAGGACGATGTGCCAGCGCAGAATCAAATCACCCAGCCCCGGCAAGACTGTTAAAATTGAGTTTGCATAGTATCCTATCATTATGTATTTACATAAGAATATTATCTTGCCGTAGAGGTACAAACATCTCAGGCATGGGAATGCAGGGATAATTTTTTTCTACCTCACTCCTGTTTGTATTGGCTGTTTTCCCAGATATATCTCGATTTCTATCCAGATTTTTACCGCCACAAAAATGAAGTTCCTCACAAAGCACTCCGTTTCATAAATGTTCCATTTATTGACTATGAGGTGGTAAAATACGCTTGATATTGCGATTAATTGTCCCATTGATGCACAGCGACATCTGCTGGTCATTTAAAATACCTGTCGTGAGTGTCAAATTTACCATGTCTGTTCTGTCGCAGTTAAATCTCTCTGATGACTTTATTCCGAGTAAACCCTGTAGCTATAAAAAATATAAATATATATTACATCTAAATATATGTATATATTTATATATGTATAAGACCTGCTTTAATTTCGAACACAAGCAAAAGCTACGATGAGGGCAGGAAATACAACGAAAGTTTCTCCATGCCATGCCTTTATTTTGAAGGGCACCGGACCGGCGGGCTTGAAAGCCACGCCCACTTCTGAAACCGAAAATTGACTGGCGTTTCCGTTTTGGGGGCGAAAACGAAAAAAAACAAAATCAACCGTTTAATGGATTTTGGTTTTATGTGCAGAAACCACAAAACGGGAAAACGAATCGTTTTCTGAGGAGAAAACAGCCGTTTTTCTGTTTTTTTTCCATGTTGAATTATACCGTTTAATCAAACTGATAAAAAGTACCTTCGTCATCATCATGGGGAACAATATGATCCTTTATTCTGACTCAATACATTGAAAAAGTATTGACCCCCGTTTCTTTTTTGTTGTCATTATTTTTTTCTTTTTTCAATTGTTCAGGGGTTTTCTTTATACAGATTTTTAGTTTTTTAACTCATCATTGCTCAGTTGGTCACTAAACTCATCAAAGTAGTTATCAACAAAGCGAAGCATCTGGATGATGGCGCTAAGCAGCAGGATGTCACAGTTCAAGTCCACCTCCAACTCTTCGCTGTAGCTCTTCACTGGAACAATGCAGGACAGAGGTACACCCACCTTAGCACTGACCTCCTGCATCTGGATCACAGAGGGGTTCAAACGGGGATTCAAAAGCGGTTCATCAAATTTATAATCAGGACTGAATTATTCCTGTATAAGTACAAGAATCCTCACTATTTTCTTGATGTATTCACTCCTGTAGATGTTTCTCAGATCCTTTTTCACCAAAGGACAAGCTTCATCTACTTTAGTGAGCAGCACCAGCTGAGGAATGCCTACAATCAAGAAAGATTAGATTATTCACAACATGCTGTAAACAATTGGAGTTTAAACTTTATTCAAAAATATTTCAGTTATAAATTGTACTGACCCAATAGGTTAGCCTTTCTGCGGATGGCTTCCAGCTTCTCCTTCAACTTTGTGGGCATAATGGAAACCTTGCAGGCATCGATGACATAGGCCACACAGTGGATCTTGTCTTTGATGCCTGGAGACTTGCGATAGCCATGAGCGTCATCATGCAGAGGAGCAGCAGGGTTGAACTGTGTCGGTGTGAATAAAGAATATCTTTAATCTATTTCACGTTACACAAGTTATCTCCACTAGCTATAATCAATATCACACCTGGTAACGATCTGGCATATGTCCTTTAAGAATGCTGATGATGTCCTCATTATCAATCCCCGCCCCTTTGCTGTCTTCCAGGCCCATGGTATCACACAGGACGATTGGCAGAGGTTTGCCTTCTCGTCCTGCTTTCAGAGAGTAGGTTCGAAACTGGAAAAGGTGAAATATTAGACATAGAAAAACCCAACTGGAAGGATTTCATTTAAATGAGATGCAAAAATCTGCATAAATAAGAAGCAGAGACACACCTGAGTGGTGAGACTGGTGGAGGAACAACCAGAGATGGCCTGGCTGGTGACATGACCTCTGAATACAGAGTTGATGGAGTTGAAGAAGCTGGACTTTCCAGCTCCAACTGGTCCAATGAGTAAAACTCGAGCCTGGGACACAGAACTGACTGTGGGCTTGTAGGTTTGGATGCTCTCCATCAACTT